TTTTTTCTCTGGCTGTTCTTTCTCAGCTTTCTCTAAAATTTCTCTTGTTAGTCGTAAAAGTGCCACCTCATTAGGGTTTTGATTTGTGAGCAATGCAACAATTTTGTCTTCTTTATCTGGTACTGTGTATGTTTTGTTCACCTCATTGAAAAAAATTTTGTTATGCATACTATTTATAGCCCAGTATGCTCTTTTTATGAAAAATGCTTGTAGACTTTCCCTATACTCTACAGTAAGATTTTTGTTTATATTTACAACTCTATTCTTCTAGGATGTTCTATCACATGTTCATTGTATTTGTTTGTTTGTTCCACAAGTGGCTTGTTTATCTTATTCTATTCTAAAATCTTGCACATGTTTGTTTTGTCCAGACTGTACGTGTTGTTTGTGTAATCCAAACAGATCTACATATAGGGTCACTAGCAATCCCCCAAGATTTTTTTTTTTACTAAAATTTCTACAAAAAACTTTGGTTTTCTTCTATAGCCATCTTATTAATACTTGTGGTGCTTTTTGCTTCTAAGCTTATTTGTTGCTTTCTTTGTTGCTGTTATGTTTTTTTAGTGTTGCACAAGTGTTATCTATTGCTGTTAGTGCAGAAAGTTGATTTCTTTTCCACTGATTTTGTGTTCAACTGATCATCGAAGAAAGTGTATGGCTTTTTGTAATATAATCACTTTGTTCTAATCGAATTCTATTATTTTTTCTTTGTAATAATATTAAATTATTTCTTGTAAATAGTAATTTACAATTGTAATAATGATTCTTTTTTGATTTTGATGTTAAAGAATCTGGATAAATTAAGTGATTCATTCTTGTAGTAATTACTTCTTTTGGATTACATCCACAACCATTATGTTTATTAGCTTTATCCAATGATACTTCTTTGCATTAATATCATTTATGTTTTTTTTTATAACAATATTTACAATAATATGTTAAAGTAGAATTTTTATTATCTTCTTTTTTTAATAGTGAAATGTTTAGACAATTTCAGTGTATATGTCCTGTCTCTTGGCATTTATTACATATTGTGTTTGAACAATCTCAGTATTCATATTGTTCAAGTGTTCTAAAGCATATTTTATACTGTACACTTTCTATTCTTTCTGAAGTAGTTGTTCAGAATTCATATGTAGTCCATTTGATACTTGCAAAAATCTAATTGAAGAGTCATTTGTATAACTATTTCCTGGTACTGGTGTTGCTCTAATATTTATAGTTTTTTCATTACTATTTGAAGTTCTTTGAGATACACTTTCTTCATCTCATTCAGATAATTCAGTATGAGGTTGGCATAGTTATTCTGTTTCTGTAAGGTCAATAGTTTCACTAATTGATTCATCAAATTTTGTTAAGAATTAAAGTTCATTTGTGTTTCTCTAAAACCTCTGCTATTCTTTTTTAAGGATTGTTGTGTTTCTTAAATAAGTCAAATTTGACATTATTTTAACTAAGTTGTGGTAAGTTTTTGGTTTTCGACTAAACCTCACACCAAGTTTCTGTTTGATATTTTTAATATTGTGAGTTAATTCTAGTTAGGTATTGAATTCTTCTACTTGCTATATCCAAGTTACTACTATTTTTTCTTTTAAAATTGTTTTGGTTATCTAAGATAATTTCTATACTTGAGTAGTTATTAGAAGTATTTATTGGTTTCTTTGATTGGTTCTTGGATGTTAGATAAGATTATTTTGGAATCTTTTTATAATTTAGGATTTATTTAGATTTTCTAATTGTTTGGTTTTATCATTTTTCTCTAAAGATTTATCTTCTGCTTCTATCAATAGATAACTCTTTAGGTATTATAAAAAACCTTACTACAATTTGTTTATGTTTTGTTGCCAACATATGTATTCTGATAGATATGACTTATTTTTTGCTCTATTTCTGCTTGGTGTTAATATTTTTATGCCAAGCCAGTTTTCTTTAATAGTATTTGTATATACACCTGTTTCAGGATCTTAAAGTATTTTGAATAATTTACAGTTCTATGTTGATATTTGTACTTTACAGATAAGATTTTGTAACCTTTTTATAGATCTGTGTATATTATTAATTTCTTGTATATATTTGCTTTAATGATATTAGTCAATGTTATCTTATCATGTTTATCAATTGTTTTCACAAATATTTTGTATTATAGAGTATGTTCTACATCTCCAATGACCTATTGATTATTTATGCATTTTTCACAGTTATACATAACATGCCCAAATAATAATATCTTTTTCTTTTATCTTATTATGTGTGTTATTTATTTGTAACTCAATAAGTTGTCTAATATTATTTATATTATTTGCTATTGTTTGTATCAAATGTTTAGTTATTATATAAATGGGTGTTGCTAATACTTTGATTAGCTATAAATAGTATATTCTAAATACTTCATTAATGGGAATCTTGTAATTATTTAAAAATGAGAATATGAGTACAGATTGTAATATTCTGCAATCACATTGTGTACAATTTTATTTCTTATTTTTTTGTTTTATCTCATTTCCACATTGCCAAGATTTTTGACTTTTATAAAGAATTTCTTCTTGTTGTAGAAATTTAATACATTTTATCTTATCTTTTAAAATATTTTTTATTTGTTTTTTTGATGAAATCTTTGCTTTGATAAGAAGTTAAATAATACTTCTTTTAACATCATCTTCTATTTTTTAGATAATTTCAAATTCTACAAATTAATTTGTATTCAAAATCTAATCATATATAAAATATTTATCTTGAGGTGGTTTACAACTTTCTTCTTATATTATCCAATGTTTTCTATTTAGTATTACAAGTATTGCATATGCTGTTATTAAGTTTCATATTATTTTTCTACTTAAGAAATAACTTTTTCACTTTGTTTTTTCTTAAATTCTTCATAAGTTTTGTTTATACAATTAGTTTTTTCATAACCCTTTTTATACTTTTTTCATTAATCATTCTTTTGTTTCAATTTGTTACTTTTTGTATTGTTTTTATTTGATTGTATTTTTTAATTTGTCTACTCTTGAAAGTTTTTTATTATGGATTTTATTGCTTACTCCTCATGCATTCTTCTTGAACTTGTAGTTGTCTTTCTTAATAGTTTTATTTATCTTCTTTGAAAAAAGTTCTGTTTTTTCCTAATTTTAATTTTTTTATAACTGTTTTTGTAAACAGTTTACTTTTTTAGCTAATTATATTAAGTCTTATTTATCAAAGCTTTTTACTAATTGTTATAATAGTGTATTTTTTATTTTAGATAACTCTATTATTAGTTATTCTAAAGATTATTTTCTTTTTTTTAAAAAGAATATAAGTTCTCTTGAGGATTTTATCTTTTTTTTTTTGAGAATTGTGCTAATCCTGATAGTTTTACTTTAATTTATCATTATTACTTTTTGACTTCTAACCAACATTTTTGGTCTTATTATTTCTTTGATCACAATTTCTATAATAATCAGTATATTACTTGTTATATTTCTCTTCAACTTTCATATAAAGATCTTTCATCAATTTTTGTTGATTTATCTCTTAAGAATAGTAAGGTATTTTTTTTTGTTATTGGATTTTTATACACTGCTGAACTGGAGTAGTTAGAGATAACTATCTCGGGTTCATAGTTATGGCAGTCAAATATTTTATTCTAATCCTTACTTTTATTATAAATCCTTCTTCTGTTAAGATACATTCTTCTGTTTCAAGAGTTTTTTGACCTATGTTATCTGAGATTGATTCTTATAATGCTCTTGAATTTTTCCAAAATTCTTTTAAAGATTCTAATTTAGAAATTTATTCTAATTAGAGTTGCATTTATACTAATTATTATTCTTGTAATTTTGACAAGAATATTGATATTGATAATTATGTGTTTTATGACTCTGATTAAATATATTTTAATAAAAAATTTTTTCTTTTTCTTGAGTTGTTTTAGCTTTTCTAATTGCTGTAATTCATCTGTTGTTTCTCTGGTTTGAAAATCTGCTGCAAAGTTTTGTATTTCTTCTATTCTAGGTATATGAAGGTTGACTGTTTGTCTAAGTTTTGCATCATAATTATTCAATGTTTTGTTAATATTGTCCAGTTTTATTTGTTGTAACTCCTGTTGCATCTGAATACACATGTAACTCTTGTGTTTCTATGTAATGTTCTCATTGTTTTACAAAGTAATATATTGCATATATTTTTTTTAATGTTGTGGCTAATTTTTCTGTATTGCAGATAAGCCATGTGACCCAATTTCTATAATAGTCTTGTTATACTTTGGTGGTTTAGAAAAATTATTAAATTTCTTTGTAATAAGTCTTTCTTTTTTAGAGATTTTTTTACCTTCCATTGATTTTGTAATTCATCTTCTTGTTGATATATTATTGCACCTATTTTTTTTTTTTTTGGTATTAAGGTGAGGCCTTGCTTGTATCTTTATTAGTAATTTTAGTTGTACATATTAATATGCTA